TGATAAAAGACCTCATATCTGAACAATCAGTTGTATGGGGGCTGCAGGTTATAGTGACCCGATCTTCGTTATTTTCACTGTAATGCTGCTTTCTGCTGATAATGAGTGAAAACAGCGCGAAATTTCGAAATCAGTTGTATGGGAGCTATAGGTTATAGTTATGCGATCTTTTTAATTTTCACTGTAAGTTTTCTGTTGATAATTATTGAAAACAGTGCGGAATTTCCTATTCCCAGCTATATAAATGGAGGAGTTATAACGAAAAATTTTATATCTGAGTTATAGGTTATAGTGACCCGATCTTTGTAATTTTCACTGTAAGCATTCTGTTGATAATGGGTGCCAGTGCTGCAAAATTTCATGCTCGTAAATGCTGCATAAATGGAGAAGTTATAACGAAAAATCTCCTATCTGAACAATCAGTTGTATGGGAGCTATATGTTATAGTGGTCCGATTCTTCCGGTTCCGACAAATGATTAATACATTATAAAAATACACCCACCTACCAAATTTGATCNACAGACAGACAGACGGACAGACGGACATGGATAAATCAACTCAGCTCGACGTTCTGATCATATAAGTATACATTTTAATGGGCCTATCTCTTTTTGTTCTGGTACTTACAAACATCGGACCAAAGTTATAATACCATTTCATGCTCATGAAAGGTATAAAAACAAGGTTCGAACGGATCACTCTATACATTCTTTAATTGGGGGAAAAATTGATAGGATAAGAAATGCGTTTTTTTATTGATTGGCATTTGAGGGTTTGATTTACTTAGTTTTGTTCATAACTTCCGTCATTTTATTTTCATAATGGTACGGTGAGTAAATATTCAAGTTTTTTTTATACCTTCGTTTAGGTAATACCAAACCTATGACAACAAGTTTTTTGGACTTCCTCAAAAACTTGTCCAACATTTAACTTCAAAGTAAAAGCAGTAACTTGTAACCTCTAGCGATCTTTTTTAACAATGCGATAGGAGCTCATTTACAGAGTTAATAAAGTTTGAAACTTATTCCTATTTAGTATTGTAGTATTCCCGAAAAGATGTCATACGTATTTCTTTAAAGTTATATTTCATTTTGCAAGTTTTGCCGCTATTCGCAAAGCGCGGCGCTAATCTGATCATGGTGCACAGTTCCCGCAGATGGTTAGATGCATTGATAACACAATAGATGAAAAGCTCACACAGGTAGTTTGTTCCAGTATTCTTCGTGCAAAATCCTGTGGAACTGTCAAACTACAATGTTACTCTCTCAAGTGAGTGTAAAAGGGGAACAGTTACAGAAGTGTACGGGAACGCAAACAGCGCTATTTCCTGCACAAACGTCAGACGGTTTGTTTACATGTCATTGGTAGAACACTGATTTGGCTGAAAATACGTAAATAATTATTAGAAACTATACAATTAAGAATAAATGCGTACATATTCAAATATTTCGTTGTCTACTTCCATATTTGATCGCACCGCGTTCTGTGTTTGTTTACAAATGCAACCCTGCCTATCGTTTGACACTTTTCATGAACAAAAAATGCAAAATCTTGTAACTTCTGACGGGAACGACTTCCTGTTATTTCATACTATTTCTTATTATGTCCTAGTGTACTAGAAAAAACTAAGGGTTAGTTTGGGAAATTTCAGAAAGAAAGATATTCAAGGGGCTGTTTATGTAAAATTTTCGTACTTCTTTTCTTGTTAAGAGAACCATTGCAGAGAGAATATCAAATACTTTAACAACATATGTACTACACAAGAATGATAGAATACAAGATTGCGCCGATCAGAGAGGATTTTTGAGAATAACTTTTGTGTGACGTCACACTGGTGCAATTGCGAGAGAGAAATGCCAAAACGTGAGCAAGAATGGAAGAAGAAGAAAAAATGTTGCAAGGAAAACGTAAACAAGTTGCACAAGTGTGACGTCATGCAAACCACGATTCTGTTAAATTCGTTAAGAGAGGAATAGCGGTCCGAGATCGGCGCAACCTTTGTATTCTCTCAATCGTGTGTACTACATACATATGTATGTATCTATTATCACAATAAGACTTACATACAATATTCGCAGTGTGAAATGTTTTATTCTATCGCTCATTTACTTCCAACAGTGTCATGATCAAAAAAATACAAATATTGAGCTAAGTCTGCAGAAATTACCGTTAGCTCTTATTCTATGTTGTGTCAAAATTACAAAGCGGTATCGATTACCAGTATCTCATTAGAGCAAAATATGTATTCATTTTTACTATGGGTTTACTATCGTTATCTTAATTCACAAAGGCGACAACCAAAAAATTTTTTATTTTACAGGAGAAGCAAAAAATATTACAAAAAATTGTTCGTTAGGGCCGTTGTGAATTAGTTAATTATATTGACGATGTGTAAATTCAAAACTTTAAAGCCGCTTTTCTCGAGTTTCGCTTTTTTGAGTTGTGGCACTATTGAAGTAAATGAGCGATATGTGGTAACTTAAAATTTCTTTACGCACCTGGTTGGCTCATCTAGTATTAAAACCGGAGGATTATTTACCAGTTCTAAAGAAATCGCTAAACGCTTCTTTTGACCGCCAGATAGATCACCCGTTCTAGTGCATAGAGACTCAAGTAAACCCATGTCTTTCAGTATTTTTCGCACCTAGGTAACAATTAATGAAATACTAATCGATTATGAAATTAAATAAATACATTTTTATATTTTCTACTTGTTCTTGTTTCTCCGTCCTCGTAACCTTTGGTCCAAGTTTCAAATTCGCTGCAAAATGCATTGCCTCCTTGACCGTCAGGAATGGCTGCAGAGTGGTGTCTTGGGATAGGAAGGCGACATTAGGCTTGAATGTTTTTACATCACGCAAATTTCCATTGATTTTTATATCACCAGAGAAGCCGTAAAGCCTGCAAATGAGCAACAAAAAAAAGTATAAACACTCTGATTAAATTATGTATTGCATACTTATATGAGGATAGTATATTGAGCAGCGTACTCTTTCCGGCGCCAGAGGGACCTACGACTGCACTCAGCTCACCCGCTCGAAATTCTCCTGTCAGGCCATTAAGTATTTGCTTATGTTCTGAAACCAAATAAAAGGTATGTACAAATGTGTATTGGTATTGGGGCTTATATTAAAAATTGGAATTTTTAAAAATACGTATACATATGTATGTATAAATAACTAATACATATATCCATATGTCCAAAACGAGCAAATAGTGTAGTTTTGCCTCGTGTATTCACACCAACAGAATGATGTGTAAGCACGATGTTATGCTTCGTCCAGTCGGACCATGCAAATGTGGATACCTTTTAGGGTACTGGTTTTGTCACGAGAAATTCAAAGCTCATTCAATTTCTGTAGGAAAAATTAGGAAAAATCTACATGAAGAAATAACTATGTACATTCTTTTTATACTACGTAAGGCTAAAAATCTGTACGCCGTGAAAACTTCACCGCTAATGTCAGCATTTTCTAGTGCTTTGACTTCGGCAAATAAATCCGAACTAGAATAAAAACTCTACAAAAAGTTTTCCAAACCAACTACAACCACCTCATCAGCGATGTCAAATTGCGATTTGCGCGGAATTTGTCTCGTTGCGGGGAATGAGTTGCCTTTTGCGGGGAATTTTGACTATTTAATTATAACTCATTAAAGAACTTACCCCTGGTGTTAAAACAGCTTTTAACTCGAACAAATTATGAGTGAGGATGTTTTTGTTGTTGTAGTTTCTGAAGGGGTGCTAAAGGTTCATCTTAAATTTGAGCTCAAAAAGTTATTGGGATCAATCGTTATTAACTAATTCATTTTAATATATTAATTATATTAATTAATTATTAACGCCAACAATTTTTGAAATCAAGTTTTATGTTTGTCGATTTGATGGTGTTTAGCAATGATAAATATGTGCGACATTTCAGACATTTAGCTCAATAGTTGTGGAAAATAGGAGATATTTTTGACAAAAGTATATTTCAGGTGCGCGATTTATTGAAAATTAAATATCGCGTTGAGCAAACTCCTAAACGATCGACGGTTTCTCCCAAATTTTCAGCAACATATTTTTTCTTGATGATTTTAAAGATTTTGATGCATCTTATATACATTTCGAAAAATCGGGTTTTTTGAATCAGCGTAATATACATACATACATACATATGTATGTCTAATCTCTTATTTGCATTTAAATTCAAGTAAGCCAGCGGAAGAATGTGTGAAAGGCCCCAGCAAAAAAAGGTTGTCAAAAATCAACGGTAATTTTTAGCCACTTCAAACGTGCATATTAATTTACTAAAATTAAATTGGATTCTAATAATTCCGAGTAAAAAGTAAAGTGAAAAAACTTAACATTTACATATTGTACATTCGTTAATAAAATCAACCAATTGAATTAAAAGATTCAAGTTTTTAATGGAATTATGCCTGCGAGGGGAATTTCACTGAAAATCGGGGAGTTTCGCGGTGGCCAATGGGTAGAAAGATAAAATTAGTTGGCATCCCTGTACCTCATGCAAAATTTCTCTTTTAAAGAACAGTTCTTGCTGTGCAGTGTATATTTTGGAAGCAACTACCCATTGGCAACGTGCAGAATGCGGTTCTGAAAATAATGCCTTTTAAGGTACTAATTTGTTCATGAGAAATTTGAAGTACATTTAATTTCTGTATGAAAAGTTAGCAAATATTTGCGTGGAAAATTAATCACAATCTTTTTTCACCATAAAGTAAAGCTAAAAATCTGTAGGTCGTGAAAACTTCACTGATAAAATCAGTGCTTTGACTTCGGCAAATAAGTCCGAACGAAAATAAAAAACTCTACAAAGCTCTCCAAACCAAAACTCCTTCTTAAAGAACCGTACTTGCTGTATTTCGCGCCTGTACAAAAGCGAATTAAAGAGTTCATAAAAGAACGTAGATAATAAGAAGGGACAACTCGTTATAATTCTAGCGAAAGTGAGTAACAGGGGCGTGCCTTCTCTTTTCATCCAATCAGAAAACGTACTACGGCAAAAGAGAAGGCACGCCTCTGTTACTCACACTCGAGTTCTCAATTCTTATTATCTATTTTCTTCGACTTCATGTTTTTGGAACTACTTCTGAGTGAAAAAAGAACCGTGCTATAAGGTATATATACAAGTCCGACTGGCCGCTTCTCACATGCTTGGCACGCACAATTATACAGATGTTTTAGGATTCGTGTGGCGGCTCTGCTATAGAATTTGAAACAATCAAACTTTTGGGTGTACCAGGACGAATAGGTATTGAGAATGAAACTCAAGGATGCGGTAGTGTACCCTAATTCATATTTTTTTAAAAGCAACTTTTAGAAATGTTGAAGGATATTGAAGGATAAATTCTTAAAAGGCATTTTCAGTGCGTACATATTCGTGTTTGTGCGCAAAAAATTTAATTATGTATTTCAATGCTACAGATTTTTCTCTTTAATTTCAGTGATACTTATTCTGTACGGCAAGCTGATCATTATTGCCAATTATCACATATTTAGACTGTTCCTTTGAACTTCGGACTAAACCTGTGGAACTGTCAAACTATAATTTTGCTCTCTCAAGTGAGAGAAAAAGGAGAACAGATGCAGAAGTGCCCGGAAACGCAAAAAGCACTATTTCCTGTAAAAACGTCAGTCGGTTTGTTTACATGTCATTTGTACAACACTGATTTGGATAAAATATCACTAACTTATTATTAAAATCTATACATATTCAAGTATTTCGTTGTTTACTTCCATTTTTTTTACAAATATAAGGTTCTTTGCCTTCACCGCTTTCTGCTTTTATTTGCGCATGCAAATTAGCTGATCGTTTCACACTTTTCATGAACTTATATGAACTTACTAAAAAACTCCGGACTAAATCCTGTAACTTCTGCCTAGGAACAGTTGCTCAGTTACTCTCTACAAAAAGTGTTCCCACTTACAGGTTTTATGTCAATTAGTCTGTTCCTTTGAACTTCGGACTAAAACCTGTGGAACTGTCAAACTACAATTTTACGCTCTCAAATGAGAGTAAAAGGAGAACAGATGCAGAAGTGCATAGGAACGCAAAAAGCACTATTTCCTGTAAAAACGTCAGACGGTTTGTTTACATGTCATTGGTACTACACTGATTTGGCTGAAATATCACTAAATAATTATTAAAATCTATACATATTCAAATATTTCGTTGTTTACTTCCATTTTTTAACAAATATAAGGTTCTTTGCTTTCACCGCTTTCTGTTTTTGTTTGCACATGTAAATCAGCTGATCGTTTGACACTTTTCATGAACTTACAGGAAAAAAAACTCCGGACTAAATCCTGTAACTTCTGACTAGGAACAGTTGCTCAGTTACTCTCTCAAATGTGTTCCCACTTACAGGTTTTATGTCAATAGGAACGACTTCCTGTAAGTTCTGACTAAATCCTGTAAACCGGACTGCTATTGGAACAGACTAAATAGGAACGACTTCCTGTAAGTTCTGACTACATAAATCCTGTAAACCGGACTGCCATTGGAACAGACTAATTATCAGGTAGCGGCGTTCGCGTACGCAAATACGTGCAAAGTAGGGAAAATTGAGTGCTCAAAGTGACAGTTGGAGGGGAAGTTGTTAATTCCTGCTGCAAAAATTTTTGCAAAGTCATCTGTTTGCAAATTATGAAATTAGTGAAATTTATTTTGATGATTTTTAAGTTTAAAATAACTTTAGATCTTCAAATGTTTCGGAAGAAAGCAAATACTCATTTATTTACGTGTGCTTAGCAAATTGCTTTACACCGAGGGAAATAATGCATAGTAAAAATGAATACTTTATATTTGATTATCGTTAAAAAATGTTCGTATTTAAAAATAATATTTTTATACAAAATTTCCCTGCAAAAAATTGTGCGACTAATCTCTAAAGAGAGTATTCCGAGATTACTCTCAATCGGGTACGATTGGGCATTAATTAGTCGCACCTACTAACTAGTCTCATACGGGTACTAATGGAGGTCAATTAGTCTCGACTCATCCCTTATGGGTATAATTGGAGATCAATTAGTCTCCAACTCATCTCTAACGGGTACTATTAACGATTTAATGATATGTACGCACTTAGTCAATGAAATGTCATGTGCGGCGTTGGTACACAGAGAGAGTACTCGCCTAACAAAACTGAGCACCCCAGTTCGAATTTCAGCTGGCGCAAAATTTTATTATTATTTTTTAAAAGTGACTTGTCGCTTTTTATACCCATTCGGGTATAAAGGTGAACAATTAGTCTCTTCATAGGACATGCTCGAACAAAAGCGAACAGTTCATTCCATATAAAGAGATCAAAAGTGGTATTAGTCGCATGTCCCTTGCGATTGCTCCCGGAGTCATCCCGGATTAGTCCCATTTTTTGCAGGGTACGCACCCCAAGCATGCAGAGCGCCGCTCTGAGAGCGGTGACAACACACACATCAATACATAGTACATACATGTTTATCCGTACAAATCGCGTGCTGTGGTGTTGATGGATATTCAACATTTGAAAGCAAATTTATATGTCTGGGTGTAGCTGAGTGCGCAAAGATGCTTGCCACAAGTTGTTGATATCCGGAGATTGTCGAGTTCAAATTCCACTGCAGGCAACATTCAAATTAATTTTTTTTTTTTAGTTTTGTCTTAATTATTCACTTCACGGATGCCTTTTCAGTACGAACGTGAGCATTTTAATATGCGCGTAATTGAATTGAATATTTACCAATATACAGTACTTTCGTTGACGTTTATAGTAAGATCAATTACGTTTCTATTTGATTTTAATACTTTTTTCCCTCAGTGTATGCAAATTTTTAATTTATGTATACTCTTTTCGTGTTTTCCGCTTTATGCTTTTGTAAGTAAACAAAATTTCGATTAGCTGTGCTAAAAACTTGCAAGTTTTTGCTAATTTTGCGTTCGGGTACTTTTTTGGATATTTTCAAATTTCCTTACTCTCCTGCATGTTTCTGCTGGATACTTTTCATTGGAGATCTATTCGAACAAACTAAATTATATCTATATCTAAATTATCAAAATTATTATCTTACTTTAAAAAAATATTGACTTCAGAGCGA